GATATACAAATATTTATATTAATTAATTATTTAAAAAAATATTAATGTGATCTTAGATAGTGTGAAAAATGCATATAAACTATTCACACAATTTAAAAACATTAACAAGGGGATACATTTCGTTTCAGACAAAAAAAAAATTTCTTACAGTGGTTAGAACTAGTGCACTGCAAGTGAAACTACTGTAGTCACTGCCTTTTTTGTAGTCTGTAGAGTAGTGTAAACAAGTAGGGTAACGATAAAAATAATAGCAACTATTTTTATCGTTAGTTAAGAAAAGAAGTACGGTTCTAACGTATTTAATTTTTCGAATTTGATTGGTGCAAGTCTTCGCAGGTCCATCATTGGAAGCAATGAAAATTACCCTGTGGCTGCAGCTGAGCTTTCACAGAAATTACGTATTTTAAATCACGAATAACTAGCATTTAAAATAGCTATTACGTAAAATAGATAATAAGTTTGGCCACACTTTCGCACACTAATAAAACACTCATGTTATTTCAAAGAATAGAAACGTATTTTTTATGTACTTAATTTCTAAGAGGAAATGAAAAAGCATTAAACAATTCAAAAGACGCAATTATTTGATAATTTCGTATTTCTTAAATTAAATATTTGATGTCGAAATAGGTATAAAAAGTTGAAGGTTAAATGAATAAATTCAAATTAAAAAAAATATTTTGGAAAAACAAACTCATTCTTGTGAACATAAATATTTCTTAATTATTCCCTTATATTTAATGTGAGCCAATTTGTTATTCCAAACAATTTAGAACTTAGGTTCTATTAAGTTCTCCGGAAATTAAGTTCTCCGGCAAAGTTCATCTCCTTAAAGTAGTGAAGTAGTTACTAAATTCTGAATTAGTTTGTAGTCACTGCATTTAAAAAAAAGTAGTTGTAGTTGCAGTTAACTACATTTGTAACACAGTAATCGTTATAAACTACAAAAATAATGTAGTTTTTCCGACCACTAATCTTAAATATAATATTTGAGTTAATTAACTCTAATATCGAATCAATTCTTCGAAAAGATAATTTTTCAATGTAACTCAAAATATTGTTTTACACTAATAATTATAGGAACTTCAGAGTTTTAAAATGCTGAAAATTACAATATCTGCGTGCTTTTTTATAAAAATTTCTGAGAGCTAAGAATACGTACCGAAAGTTTTCTGAAGTCACAGATGCCTGCGATCCGGAAGCAAGGAGATTTCACACTGAGTAGACCACTGCCGGAACTGTTGTCACTCAATCATAAAAATAGTAACTCATCGAACTTCTTCTAAAACCTAGAAATGTGCAAACACTTTGTTGCAATATTAAACATATTACTTTAAAAAAACATTCGCCTTATTCCAACTATTATTTTTCATTGGAAAGCAATTTAATAATTAAATATTGACAATTTTTAAAAAAATTTAATATTGAAAATAAACATGGAGCTATCATGGTTTTGCCGTTCAAATAGGAATTATGCAGAAATGAAATTTATGTTTTTCAAATTATATTGATTGAAATAATTAATTAAATTACGATTTTTCAAAAGTTATTCTTTTTTTTTACAACTGAACGGGTACTGAGCATTGAAACAGGAGAGCCATCACATTTTTTTTAATACATTATAAACATATCCTCCAGGTACTGCAAAATTTCTGTATTTTCAGAAGATATTTTTCTTTCTTATTTGTAGCAAAACTTTTGTATTAATGCATTAAATACAGGGGTTGGACAAAATAATGGAAATACTTAGATATTAACACATTTTTTAATATTACTCAAAAAACATAAATTTGGAAGTGATTATTAGATCGTGCGTTTTCTCAAACATATAAATGAAGTTTAACCTCTTTGAGGTTTGTGGGACTGACAATAAATTAAGAACTAAACTAAGTGGCGCGACAGCCCATAGACCTAATTTTCCCATCTCAGGTTTTCTGACCTTGGGTTCTGGGGTGCAGGAGCAGTTGTTCCGGTTAGGTGGTCAGCCGAACGCGGAAGCCCCAGTGTTTAGTTCCCAAGCATACTTGATACGGGAGGTTTTCGTGGTTTTCCGCTCCATGTAACGCAAATAAGGGTTAGCTGCATCAAAAAGTCCACCAAGGTGGCAAATTTCTCCCAATGCTTGATTCCTTGTCTTCTGGATTGGGTTCAAAATTTCAAGGCTACGTTGTTGAACATTAGCAGTTGTAAACGCAAAAATTGGGTCGGCTGCACAAAAAATCGCCAATTTCGGTCATTCACCGCTACATTATAACAAGTCATGCATTTTTTTTCTTATATACTTTAACACAGCTGCCAACAGTTGTTATCAAGAGTTTTTTTCTAGTAAAAGTAAAATGATTATATTAATATTTATGTTTTGATTAATTAATATGAGTATCAACTTGTAGTTCCCCAAATTTTAACCCTTCTTCTGAAACTTTTGGTCCTTAGAAAAGATGATAGAAAAGTATCTGAAGAGGTGTTCATAGAATATTTACTACACGATTAACTATCCTGGTTTTTGTTTCACAGCATGGGATTTGGCCCCGACTGGTTAGAAAAGACATTAACGAATGGAATAATGATCCATAATTACCAAGAATCTGAGACATATGTTCCCTTCTGTCAAAGTAGTGAATGATTTGTCAGAAAGAGCTGTGAAGCTAATTCAAAAATTGGTCGATTGTCATTGCAAAATGGCCTCCATTTTTTTTTTTAAAGAGACAAACGAATTACATTTACAATGATTGTTATTCTTAATTAAATGTATAATGTACTGTCTAAACTGAGCCAAATGTTTTAGTTACTGCTTAATATAGCTAGCTTGTTGTGAAAAACTGGTTTCTATTAAAAAAAAATATTTTTGTTCTTGTCTCAGCGCGTATGAAAACGATATAGTTTAAAAATTAAATCAGTAAATAGTGCTGAGCAGAGATCGAAAATCGATAACTGACTTAAAATTTTGTAAGCATTCATATTTTTCTAGACAGAACGTCACAGGGCAGGTGCACCTTCGATTTTTTAAAAGGATTTTTTTCACATTACATTAATTCAATGGTCTAGTATTTGCGTTATTAAAAAAATAACACCTGAATTGAAAATGTAATTTATCAAATAGGAAGGTATGCAATAAGTATTACTTAAGTATGAATATTAGCATAGCAATATTTTTATTCGAGTCAAAAATTTGAATGTTTCTTATAAGTTATAATTTTTTATAAAATAATCCAAAACTTGTAATTATTCAGGTAACTTGCAAACCTGAGATTAGTAAGGAATTCCTGCATTATTCAAAAACAGAATTTTTTATTGAATTACACTGAGTTGATGACTTCCTAAAATATTTCTTGTTAATTATATGAGCTCAACATTTTTCATTAAATGGCTATAAATTTATGAGCTTATTGAAATTATCATTAGATAATGAATATAAGTAATTAATGATAAAGATTATCGTTGTAAAAGGAATATTTTTCTTTATCATTGATTAAGGATGATTTAAAATGTTAATCTATAAGCTCAACAAATTTCTTAGAGTATCCCAATGAGCTAATAATCTTAACTTTGGTCAGCATTTCAAAACGTTTGGAAAAAGTGAAAAGAGCAGTACAATAAGCGAGCAACAGCTGAATATAAGCGACCTGAATAATTACAATAAGCGAGCAACAGCTGAATCCCCAGGATTGAAGAGTGGCACCCATGTTTATAAAGCCATCGACATAAATTTAACATATCAAGTATTAAAAGTTCTGAATTGTGTAAATGTCACATTGTTGTAAGATAATCTGGACTTAATTGAACACATCAAGTTTTTAAAAGTGTGTTTTGAATTGTCAAAATGACACATTGTTGTAAGATAATTTGCATTCACAGTTATAAGTATTTAAAAAAGTGTAATTAAATGTAAAAATCTTACCGTGCTCATTATTCAAAGGAACTTTCTTGCATTGCTGAATGGATTCGAGAGAATAGAATCTGAAAGACAAAAAGTAAGTTTTAGTTCTAAATAAGAATCTTTTTGTTAACAATACAAGACATTTCCAAAGTCGTATTTTTCAAACAAAGCGCTAAATTAATCGCGTAATTAAAATATTTCCTGCTATTAGTCCATGAGTTCACGTAATTTTTTTCATGTCATGATGAAATTTTTACTTTACTAAACCAACTCTAGTTAATCCCCTCAGCACTTACAGCCTTTTTTAGTGAAATCATCATATGCTAAAACAAATTAGTTTTTTCAACAAACAGGAATGATTTAATGTATTCTTTAGAATAATTTTTGTAAAGCGCTGAACACATAAAAAATATCAGTGATAAAAAAATCCTCTTTTTTTCAGTTTCAAAATCCATCTTAAAAATACAAAATACAGCTAGTGGATTCCAGGATTGTACTGACCGCTGNAGAATTTTTTATTGAATTACACTGAGTTGATGACTTCCTAAAATATTTCTTGTTAATTATATGAGCTCAACATTTTTCATTAAATGGCTATAAATTTATGAGCTTATTGAAATTATCATTAGATAATGAATATAAGTAATTAATGATAAAGATTATCGTTGTAAAAGGAATATTTTTCTTTATCATTGATTAAGGATGATTTAAAATGTTAATCTATAAGCTCAACAAATTTCTTAGAGTATCCCAATGAGCTAATAATCTTAACTTTGGTCAGCATTTCAAAACGTTTGGAAAAAGTGAAAAGAGCAGTACAATAAGCGAGCAACAGCTGAATATAAGCGACCTGAATAATTACAATAAGCGAGCAACAGCTGAATCCCCAGGATTGAAGAGTGGCACCAATGTTTATAAAGCCATCGACATAAATTTAACACATCAAGTATTAAAAGTTCTGAATTGTGTAAATGTCCCATTGTTGTAAGATAATCTGGACTTAATTGAACACATCAAGTTTTTAAAAGTGTGTTTTGAATTGTCAAAATGGCACATTGTTGTAAGATAATTTGCATTCACAGTCATAAGTATTTAAAAAAGTGTAATTAAATGTAAAAATCTTACCCTGCTCATTATTCAAAGGAACTTTCTTGCATTGCTGAATGGATTCGAGAGAATAGAATCTGAAAGACAAAAAGTAAGCTTTAGTTCTAAATAAGAATCTTTTTGTTAATAATACAAGACATTTTCAAAGTCGTATTTTTAAACAAAGCGCTAAATTAATAGCGTAATTAAAATATTTCCTGGTATTAGTCTATGAGTTCACGTAATTTTTTTCATGTCATGATGAAATTTTTACTTTATTAAACCAACTCTAGTTAATCCCCTCAGCACTTACAGCCTTTTTTAGGGAAATCATATGCTAAAACAATTTAGTTTTTTTCAATAAACATGAATGATTTAATGTATTCTTTAGAATAATTTTTGTAAAACGCTGAACATATAAAAAATATCAGTGATAAAAAAATCCTCTTTTTTTCAGTTTCAAAATCCATCTTAAAAATACAAAATGCAGCTAGTGGATTCCAGGATTGTACTGACCGTTGTACTAGGTAGTAAAATTTTCAAAAGAAAATTTTAAATTGCTCAATTGCAACTATGTTCAATTTTGATTTTCTTAATACTTGCTCGACATGATTAATTGCTTCTCTTACTAATTGTTTTGAGGAAAAAAAACATTGTTTTTAAAAATAAATTATTACTAAAATCAAGAAGCTGTAACAAAACATAATCTACAGGTTTCGACTCTTTTCTCATCAAGTACCTAGTCATGTACTACTTTATTTGAAAAAATATTGCAGACCACTCGAATATGTAACTTTATTCCTTTCTAAATGTTCAATCTTTTTTCAGTAGCGGCTATTGTTACTTAAGATATATCTGAAGTATATTTCTTTACTTAAAATTTACGATCAGAGTTAGTAATGTCAAGTTCTACCAAAATTTGTAATGTGGAATTTTCTATTTAAATATTTTCCATAATGTTTTATTTATTATATTGAAAAAAGTTTTTCAAATATACTTTGTGAATTCAGAGCTCTATAATGAAATTTAAACTATGTATCAAAGAAGAAAATTAAAAAAGAGTCCCATAGTTAATCCACTTTTCATTATACGAAATTCTTGAAATACACAAAATTCGCTATGCAATTCCGTTGTATCACTGATTTATTTAAAATACTGCTGTCATTTCGATTTAATTTACGATTGAATAATTTATTTTCAGGTGGTTTGGAAGCATGTTTAGGGGGTAGGGGACGGCGAATAAATTTTAATGCTTGCAAATTATGTTTTGAACCATGCAAAATAAGTTCTTTATTTCAAAATATATTCTAAATTTTAAAAATGATTTTTATGCTATAATTGATAACTATGTCTAATATGTTGGAGAACATTTTAGTAATTTTGAAAATTCTTGTACCAGCTATGGAATGTTGGAGCATGAAATTTTTAATCAATTGTAGAAGATTTTTTTTTTCCAATTAGATAAATATTTAAAATTTTTTACGTAATTTTATTGTATCTCTGGTTTACATAAATTACTGTTGTTATTCGATTTAATTTATCTTGAAATATTTATTTTAAGTGGTGTAGAGGCCGTAATAGGTGGTGGTGAGTATATTTTTAATTTTGTAAGTGATGGTAATCAAGTGAAAGTATTTCTTGAACTCAAAAATATATTTCAAATTCTTAAAATGATTTTCATGCTCTAACTTATAACATTAAATGGAAATATAAATATTTTAAGAACACTTTAGAAATGAAACTTCTTAAATGACAGATATTGAATGTTGGAAAAATGAAGATAATAAATTTTGGATAAATAAATGAATTATTAAAATTCATTTATTTATTCAGATGGTGGTGCGGGAGTTATCGTGAGCAAAAGCAAGAAAATTTGAAACTTTAAAAATTACACACAGAATGCTCCGTATGACAACCCTTAGCAGACATTTTTCCACACCTTGTCAAAAATAGAGTGATAAAAACATTTATAATAAAAAATTATTTAAATTTTATCACACTGAAAATAAATGGACTCTAAATTACGAATTAAAAAGGAACTAAATGAGCAATAAAATATAGAACTTATGAAGTATTGGAGTCTACTAAATAATTTAGTCCTTATTCTCTGTTACTCAGAACTGATTTAAAAATTAAAAAGTATAAACATTAATAAAATTTTATTAGATCTGACAAGAGATTTTGTTAACTTTCAAAGCTGCAAATAAGAAGTGTCTAGTTTTATGCGAAATAGTTGCACGAAGATAACAGGTCCAAGCCAGATATTTGAAAATAGTTAATTTTTAAACAATTGATTCAACTTATGCAACTAAAATATATTTTATGTTGGTCGATAGTGCGCAGATTAATTTTGTTAGACATTAAAATAATATTCCATAAATCATGGTTTGCCGAATGTCACATTATCTAAAGAATCGCTTGTACACCAAAATATTAAGACTGATAAATCATATTTACCATAAAAATGTCCAAAATCCTTGTGTGCTGAAAAATAAAATATAATGACGCTATTTTTTTATGAAATAACACACTAATAATATTAAAAATAAAACAAAATACTCAAAAGGATTTGACAATATTAAACACTAAACAAAGTTTTTCTTACAGTGACAATTTTTTTAAATGATAAAATTTATCGTAACTGATCAAGTATACCTAATTGAAATGCATATCCAACAGCTTTTTTCAAGATGTCGACTAGCATGTTTAATTATTCAATTGCAACAAAACATGGGAAGTTTGGTTTTTATTTTTAATAATTATTATGAGGAGGAACACAAACTTTTAATTTTTTTTATAATGATAAAATTTCACTGTATTTTTACTCAGTATTGATAAAAGTTTATTTTTCAAAAATAAAAATAAAAAGTATAAAAGATAGTTCTAACACATCTTACTAAAATCTACACAAGAGAAAAATTTCAGAAACATATATTTATCGTTTACACCATTTAAAAAGATCTAGCAATACTAAAAACCTTGTACAATTTGAACTTAACAAATACCTTCATTATATTATTATATCAAATGAGATTTTACCTGTTTTTCCATCACCAGAAGTAAATTCATTCGGAAAAGTTTCCTAAAACAAAGAAAAGTCTCTTTACATTTGAACTTAAAGTGGCACTNGATGGGAATTGTAAGTTGCATCATACACCCGTTTCGGATTCACAAGTTCAAGCTTGAAATATGATTTGAAATCTAGGTTTTTTTAAAATTTCACATGAATCGTGAATTAATCATTTATATTGGGAGACATTGGAACTCTAACACAATACGATTGTAATAAATAAATAAAAATGTGTACAACCAAGAAAATTTTCCAAAAGAATCGAAGAGGTTATACTTTTATACTTATTAACAATTTTGAATAAATTTATAATAACGATTATAAATACTAACGATTTTGATGCAATAAATTTCTAGTAGAAACACGAATACAAGTAAAACATTTTTACAATTTTCAGTTATCATCGCACAAGGCATAATTTTTATTTTTAGTTACCATATTTTGTTAGATTCTATTAAAGAAAAATGAGAATTTTAAGTCAAAAAAAAATCCCAGTGGTGTATTCTAGCCTCTTTATCTTTGAAGGCAGTTTTATTTAATGGTGGGAGCATTTACATTGGAGCTCAAATAATATACCAAGAAATGGCAAAAAAAAAATAATTTAAAAGTTAACATATATATAAATGAAGTTGAACTATGAAAATTATTTTTATAATATAGCAATGTAGATAAACAATAACTAATAAAAAAGCAGAAAAATAAGTAATTCAAAAATATAAATCAAATTTGAAAGTGAAACATATTAATTAAATAAAATATCAACATNTCTAGTAATACTAAAAACATTGTACAATTTGAACTTAACAAATACCTTCATTATATTATTATATCAAATGAGATTTTACCTGGTTTTCCATCACCCATTTGGAAAAGGTTCCTGAAACAAAGAAAAGTCTTTTTACATTTGAACTTAAATTGGCACTTTAGAGAACTTAAGGTTTAAGAGAGGGGTAAAAAATAAAACTCTAATCCATTTACAAAATCAACACAATTTTATATGCCTCTATCAAAACACGAATAACATTAAAATCGATTTTATACAAGAGAATACCAGGCTATTCCAGCATATTAACACAATACGATTGTAATACGATAAATAAAAATGTGTACAACCAAGAAAATTTTCCAAAAGAATCGAAGAGGTTATACTTTTATACTTATTGCCTATTAACGATTTTGAATAAATTTACAGTAACGAATATAAATAATGACGATTTTGATGCAATAAATTTCTAGTAGAAACACAATACAAGCAAAAAATTTTTACAATTTTCAGTTATCATCGCACAGGGCATAATTTTCATTTTTAGTTACTATCTTTGTTAGATTCTATTAAAGAAAAATGAGAATTTTAAGTACAAAAAAAATTCCCAGTGGTGTATTCAAGACTCCTTATATTTGAATACAATTTTATTTAATGCTGGGAGCATTTATTTATACATTGGAGCTCATATAATTTACCAAGAAATGTCAAAAAAAAATAATTAATTTAAAAGTTAACGTATATATAAATGAATTTAAACTATGGAAACCATTTTTATAATATAGCAATGTAGATAAACAATAACTAATAAAAAAGCAGAAAAATAAATAATTCAAAAATATAAATCAAATTTGAAAGTGATACATATTAATTAAATAAAACATCTACATAAAAACCTATTTTAACTAAAACCATTATAACGATATTACAATGTAAATAAACAACTGACATTAAGGTAGTAGAATAATAAATATCACAGAAAAAAATACAAATTAAATTAAATATGAACATTTAATATTAAGTAGATTTTTTCCAATTAACCATCGGCTGTTGGTGTACATTGAGCCCCCAAGGTCTGTATTTGGCCTCAAACCACATTAGTTAAGTTTATAAATTAAGTTTACATTTTGAGATTAGTAAATAACAAATTCAGCTGAAAGATTAAGTTTAATAATTATTAATGAATCTATAATAGTCTGTGAAAATTCAACTATTTCAATTCAATCATCAATTCAATTATTTTATTTTAGAATTAAAAAGTGGGTTTTTCTAAAAATAATTATAAAATCAAATAAATAAATGAAAGTTGTTGGATTTGTTTGCGCATGGGTAACAGAAAAAAAACAATATGTAAAAAATTATGCGCATCACACAAAAACTATGTGAAATTAGTTTATATTGATACACTTATTTTTTTACAGACACATAAAAACAAAATATTGCAAACACTGCCATATTAACTCTAGTGGACTATAATTTCAGAGGCATTTAATAAATCGTATTCGATAAAAGATTGTGTGAGTTTGATATTAGTTATATTCGAATCAGCGCATCATCTATAATAACCTTAGTAACGGAAATTGTACAAAAATGATTCTGCTTTAAACAATATTAATATTCAATATAGGGTGTTTTATAATGATTGCTCTTAATATATCAATATTAATAATTTTATAATTATGTCATAGACGAAACCAATGTCTTTGAAGTAGCAAATTATTATTTAGGAGTAAAAAAAAAACGAGTTACAAAACAAAAACGAAATAACTGATACTATTGTTTACCCTTTTGACCAAAAAAAACCCTGCTTTTCTCGATTTTAATTCCAATGTTTTCGGAAATGATCTGGATATTGAATCGTTGGAATTTAAATAAAACTTTTTTATCACATGAATAAAAATTCATTTATAACCCTTTATTGATATAGATTATACATTTAATTATTTACATACCCATATTTATAAAGTCTAATTTTTCTCATTACACTAGGCCTAATATAGATTTCGGACATTTACCATAATTGAACAAATTCATATATTAATTTAGAACTTCTGATCAATGTGTAAATTGGACCATTTTTTTTATCGCTTATGACCGTTAAAAAAAAGTTTTCTATTGCAAGTTGCCAACAATATTGTTATCATGAATGACCGAAATCAGCAGAATGTCGACTTTCATCGGTGAATATTAACAATCACATTGGTGAATGTCCGAAATACTTGTTATACCCTATTGAATATTAATTTATTCATTGATATTATTTTATTTATTCGAGATTTTAATACCTGCTGAGGATAGATTAGGAGAAACAGTACCGGGCAGTGGCACTTGACCTTACAAAAAACATTGATGTATGTCATACAGGGCAAATGTATACCGGGCACATAACTAGACCTAGAGTATGTTTCGGACATTTATCAAAGTGACTATGTGTTATCAACATGCACCAATTTCGGGGCCGGGATGGCTCAGGGGATAGAGCGTTCGCCTTGCAATGAGNGTATATTTCGGACATTTATCAAAGTGACTATGTGTTATCAACATGCACCGGTGGAAGGCAACAATCACCAGTTTCGGGGCCGGGATGGCTCAGGGGATAGAGCGTTCGCCTTGCAATGAGATGAACAGCGGGTTCGAATCCCCGCGATAGCTGGTCGATATGAATTCCGCATCCAGTTTGCATAGAACACAGTGCTGATGTGAAATCTCCTCAGTGGTAGACGGATCATGGGTTAGAGTCATCTTGCCGTCAGGCTAACCGAAGCAGGTTTTCGTGGTTTTCCACTCCATGTAACGCGAAAAAGGGTTAGCTCCATCAAAAATTTCACCAATGAGGCAAATTTCTCCCAATACTTGATTCCTTGTCTTCTGGATTGGGTTCAAAATTTCAAGGCTGCGTTGTTGAACATTAGCAGTCGTAAACGCAAAAGTTGGGTCGGCTGTTCAACGACGGTTACAAAAAATCACAAATTTCGGTCATTTATCGTAACATTATAACAAGACATGCATTTTTTTTCTTATATACTTTAACACAGCTGCCAATTGTTGTTATCAAGAGTTTTTTTCTAGTAATAGTAAAATGAATATATTAATATTTATATTTTGATTAATTAATATGAGTATCAACTTGTAGTTCCCCAAATTTTAACCCTTCTTCTGAAACTTTTGGTCCTTAGAAAAGATGATAGAAATGTATCTGAAAAGGTGTTCACAGAATATTTACTACAAGATTAACTATCCTGGTTTTTGTTTCACAGCATGGGGTTTGGCCCTGACTGGTTAGAAAAGATATTAACGAATGGAATAATGATCCCTAATTATCATGAATCTGAGACATATGTTCCCTTCTGTCAAAGTAATGAATGATTTGTCAGAAAGAGCTGTGAAG